TGGTCAGTGAGCTGAGGAGCAATTTCAATGCGGGCGTCATGGCACCTGTCAGTTTCCGAAAGGATCAACTCAGAAACATGAGAGCCATGATGCTGCAGGAAGCCGATCGTTTGGCCGCTGCAACAAAAGCTGACCTTGGCAAAGTGAGTACTTCCTGGTTAATTTTCTGATGATCCAAGAGATTATGTGCATTACTTATTGTTCACAATCACTGGATCACACATAAAATGGCTTTACAATGAGTTAATCCATGAGTGTCCTTATTGCTATATACAGTAAAATACTGACCTTCCGACGAGGAGAGATCGTCTGATATGAGCAGATCTTTGGGAATTTACGCGTTCTTTGTTCGTGGTTTTCCCAACCAGAGATGGAAAATATTGTCTGAAATGTCAACCATGAGACCTGACCTTTTTCACGTCTGTAATTTTTCAGCCATATCAAGAATTTTACATGTCAGAAATCGTACTGACCGTCAGCGAAATCGATTCGATGATGGAGAACCTGAACTCGTATGTGGCCAACGAGGCACGCGCTCGTAGTTTGGCCACGATGAACGACACCCTGGAAATCCAGCAGTCTCCCCTAGGTGTCGTTCTTATAATCGGTGCATGGAATTACCCAGTCAGTCTCATGATGCTACCGGCTTTGGGGGCAATCGCTGCTGGGAACTGTATCGTGTTCAAGCCTTCGGAAGTTGCTTCACATACCGAGACTGTGTTGACGAACGCGATTGAAAAATATTTGGATAAGGTGAAGATTCTCCCCCATTCCTATTATAGAAGCTTATTATGGTACATGTGATCTCGTGCTTTTTAAAATTCCGAATGCAGTAGTTTATTTTTACTCGAGTATACTGCAGTACTGATGTATATCGCATTTGCATTAAAAAATGTACCAGCATATGATGGATTGACTCTTCGTTTACACAGATGAGCAATACTCGGAGAACCAAAAATGCAGTACTGTATCAACAAGGTTATATCATGTTCTCGGATTTCTGAGTGGAAAAACACAGTTTATTCCTCTTAATTCTGAGCAAATAAATTGGGTCAGAGGATTTTTGGTCCAATATTGGTCCGTCTGGTTTTAATAAACAGATTTTATTTACAAATAAAAGATGCTTGATTCTTCACACTACAACGAATTACCAGCAGTAATATGCTGTACATTTTAGCGACAACAAAAATAAACCTAGAATATCAATCAATCAATTCATCTACAGTATATGAATAGGTATTGAATGGAAATTATGCATAATTATCTGTACTTACAGTGATTTTAATTTTCTTTAGCTTATGTGATTATGTGCAATAAGATGTGTAAGTGTTTCATTATCTCACCTGTTCTCTATTCTATGCTTGTTTGTATACATAGCAAGATATATTGTAATTGTGTAAGATAAATACGGTAATTTTGTATGCAAGAGTGAAATTTTACATGGAATTTTATAAAATTTATAAAGTTTTCGTTACAAAATATTAAAAAATAATTTACAAAAATGTCATGGACATCGAATAATGAAAAAGTCATTGAAACATACGCATCATGCGTTCGGATGTCAATACAGTAAACATAAACTAGAGATTAAAATTGACAAAGTTGTATTCTATATCCTAGCTCAATCAACGCATCTCAAAAGGCCAAATCCTCTTTGATTGTGAGTTTACATTGTTTAGAATTTGGTCCTATTGAGCAGTCTGAAAAATAATTTGTACATAAATTTGATGGTTTTATGGTTTGGATTTCGTTCTTTAAATGTATGTCCTGATATGCAGCTGATACTTTTAAAATAAGGTGGTCCTCTTAAGCATAATCTACATTATACACAACGATTATTTGCAGGGTGCTATAAACGCCCAAGTAATTACGGATTATTTATTTTCACTGATCATCAACAACTGAAGCACACTCAAAAAACAACCCTAACTTACTCATGTAATAATTAGTCTTTTCTTTCTTGTGATTGGACGTAAAAGCGTTGTTTCAGGGTAGCAACAGGCGGTGTGAAAGAAACCACGGCCTTGTTGAAGCAAAAGTTCGACCACATCTTCTTCACCGGCAGCACAGCAGTCGGAAAAATCGTATATCAAGCAGCAGCGAAGCAAATGACTCCTTGCATCCTGGAACTCGGTGGAAAAAGGCAAGTTTTTGAATGCCCAAAAAAAATCGTGATAAATATACCTGAGTCTTACATAATTGATGGTGAAATTTATGGAGTGTCATTTGTTATCCACAGTCCCTGCTACTTGGACAACACAGTGAACATGAAAATAGCCACGAAACGAATAATGTCCGGAAAACTTTTGAACGCTGGACAAACTTGCATCGCTCCGGATTATTTGATGTGCACGCCTGCTGTGAGAGATGCATTTATTCGGGAAGCGACGGAAGTTTTGAAGACTTGGTTTCCGGAAGGACCGAAAGACACTGATGACTATTGTCGCATTATCAATGACGTGCGATTTCAGTTAAGTTTTCTTCAAGCCTCGTATATATTTTTCCTAAACTTATCACATTTAGAGTGCAGGTATATAAACAGTACTGTAAGTTAGGCCCCGAGATGCGGACGTAATTAGTGTTTGAACAGTGTCCCTATCTCAAAATGTATGAATGTTGGGCCTTGTTTTCCTATAGACTCCTATGGGAACTCATTTAATTGGTTCTCCAGTTCATGGAAAAGTAGTAAAAATCTTAAAAAAGTAAATAAGATGTGTTTATCAGCTTAAAGATACAGAATATGACTGTTCATAATAAAGAAACCCACATACAGACAAAAAGCATAAGTCTTGCTATACTGTGCATAGCTGATAGAGAATGCCAAAAAAATGCACAAAATTAACCTGTTTTTGATTATGAATTCAAGTAAATATACAATGCAATTCCGTTTTAACTTCTGTGAATATCAATAGCTTAAATTGTTCAAGATGTTCAAATTTAGAAAATTTTAAATTTTCTGGAATTGTTGAAAAATTGTCCGTATGTTGAGATATTGTCCGGATGTCGGGCCCTATATTTTGAATTTTAAAGTGTCCCCAAGTTGAATTGTCCGTATGTTGGGGTCTCACTATTGTTCATTCAGCCCTTTCAAACGCGCCCTGAATTTGCCCGTCCACGAGCTTTTCTTTTTTGCTCAAAGGTGTCGCCTGAATCTTTGAAAAATTTCATTTAATTGATAAATTGATGCCAATGTTATTTACCTACAGGTTCTCGCTTAGCTAGCTCTAGTTCAACTTTTCAATCAGATTAGTATTGTAGAGATGTAGACTATAAATTGACACACTACAGTATTGAGTAATAAAGTAAAATCTGGTTACAGTAATACTAATCTCGTTATTCAGGATAAGGAATGAATGCTGCTTACAACACATTTATTTTGTCCTTGCTCAGTAGCGAAATTGTATTGTAATTTAGTTTTAACGAATTTCCGTTTACAATAAAGCCGTTTAAGGCCCCAAACGCGTCGTTGTTACGAGATTCTACCATATTGTATTTAATGAGTGCATTTTGTTGTATCTCAAGGTTTATTATTACAGACGGAAATCACAATAAAAAACGCACATTTTATTTTTCAGTCACCCACTTTGGAAACTGAAAATTGTCATTGAATAGTATTGTCTCACAAAATTCTATAAACTCGATCAGTCATAGGTTGCACCCAAAGTTTGCGCAGATTTTTGAATCACAAAAAATATCCTCGCGTACATCAATTTGCGAAATGTCCAATAACGAAGACAAAATTAAGGTTAGATCAGCACTTCAAATGTTTGATTTCAATTTTAATAACCTCTTCCTCGACTATTGCGGGTGCCACATGACGAATCAAAGAGATTATATATATTTTATGTAGGACTCACCCTGAATTTTTAAATATAAGATTCTGGGAGGTGACTCTCATCAATCTGCCTCAAATGTGAGGTACTGTATTTTTGATTTGACAAACCGATACAAATGCTTTATACTGTATTTGATCCACTGTTCTCATGCTTTCTTAATAATCTTGTTTTTTTTTTCTTTTTGGTCGATGCTTTGTTGATCGTTGAGAAGTCTTGTGTTTTTATTTCGGTAAAGGAAATTGAAACAATTGATTGAGTCGAGTGGGAAAATACAAATTGGAGGCCATTTTGATGCCGCTTCCAAGTACGTTTCTCCAACAATCCTGGTGGACGTGAAACTGTCCGATCCCATCATGCAGGAAGAAATTTTCGGCCCTGTTCTGCCAATCATTGTGGTTCAAAATCACGAAGAGGCGATTTCTATTATCAATCAAAGGTAATTATATCCGTGAGAATTGCTTAATTGAGACTTATCTGTTTGCGACGATACATATTGAGAAACTTGGAAATTTATCTTAGGGATCATCCCTTGACAACTTACGTGTTCTCGACGGACAATAAAGTGATTGAACAATTTGCGACGAAAACGTCCAGTGGGAGCTTTGTCGTGAACGAAACTGTTTTTCATTTTGCAGGCAAGTTTCATCTGGTTTATTTCTCGAGATTAAATTTTAATTTGGTTTTTTTAAACATGTCAGTCGAATCCTTGCCATTTGGAGGTGTCGGGATGAGTGGCCTTGGAAAGTACCACGGAAAAGCTTCATTTGACGCTTTTGTGAATAAGCGAGCTGTAATGAAGAAAACTTTCAACCCACTGATTGAAACTGCTGGCGGGTGAGCATTTAATATACGGTAAACTGTATACTCACGTTTTAGTTTGCCCTTTAGTTTTGTTATGCACTCGTATGTGACAGCTATATATGACACAGGCGGAGAATGTTAGTTATAGTATACAGTATTGTAGGAAAATACTAAGGGTACTGCATATACTGAATTGTTCTATAAGAGATTTACCCATCAATAAAATTGAATAAAATTCACATGCTGAGGGAATACTGTACCCGTAATTTCCTTTTTTACTTTACACACGACAGATAGGTTTAGAAAGCATAATGGATGAATCTTTTCAGTCAGGCGAAATCAAACATGCTCAAACCAAAATATTTGGTAGTTCATTTGATCCTGCACAACGACTTCCACAATCATTTTAGAGTTATCACAGGGAACTTTAGGGAATGTCTGAGGCATTAGG